AGAATAAGTTGAACCAACTCACCAAAAGGGTTTAAGACAAGTTGGCAGTGCACAGAATTTGGGCAAACCTATTTTGTTTGTTACGGGTAAAGAGAGTGTGCTCATGTTGTGCACATGCAGGGCACGACGATGAAATTGTCTGCGCTCCCGCGGACACGCGTGTTGCTCATGACTGTGAAGAGGTCGCTTTGACCAGAATTCTGTAAAAGTCGTTTGATAAAATTTTATTACAAACACATAAACATGTGAAAGCTAGGTCACCATGGCCAAATCATGCATTCTCAGGCTCAAGAATGCCTGAATTGTCTTAAATTACATGGAGAAAGAATCTACAAATATTTCTTTTCTCTGTTCGGTAAGAAGATATTCAGTTTTTACAGCAAATGAATTCCCTTCATTTTTACGAGACTTCTCAGTTGTTGTTATCAATGCAAATTTGCTATCACCATTTCTCACAGTCATCGAGTGCCTAATATCAGCAGGTACTATTATGTGTTATTGAACTTGCCACTGGGACTTGTCAGCCGTGACGGGACACGCACATATCAATAGTACTACTTGTCGCGGTCCACCCGCTACCCCTTTCTTCACAATGGTATGGCCAGTGGGTGAACTTCATACAAAGTCATACGGGATTAATCATAAGGTCACAACTCAACTTATCCTGTCTTACCAGTGGAGCTCTTTCGTTTGCTGTGTGCAGAGTTATCATTATACCTGCCCCTCCCTGTGGTGATACGTCACTTAGGTGCGTTATGTGTAGGAGAAACAATGTCTCCGAGGGATTACTAGAGATTGTAAACCCTCACATGAAGGACGTTCCCGAATGTGAGGGTTACAATCTCTAGTAATCTCGAGGAGACATGGTTTGTCCAACTTATAAACCGACTCATCGCATAGACAACGTTTTTAATTAAATAACTGTAATAAAAACTCTCAAATGTATAACCTGTATCGGAGAAGAAATATTGCCTGCAGTCGTGAACTCGGTTCAATGAAACCGGTGACCTCAGCACGTGGGTTTCGTAGCTGTTCGTAGTTTTTGTTCTATCAAGGGTTTACAATGATTGTAAGCCCTCCTGCGAGGTGTTACGATCGTTGTAATACCTCCTACGAGGTGTTACCACAATTTCAAAAACTCCATATCGAGTTACACAAACAGCAAGTAGGTTTATAAGTCCGGGTATTTTTCGTGACGACCCCAGCAAACGCAAAGCCCCGAGGTCGGGGGAGAGGGGAGATGGGCTTTGGTTTCAGGTCACGCTGAGTATTCGAAGTCCACATGACCCTTGATGAGGGCGCTAACAGCTAAATCCTTGGCTGCATGTTATATTTTTAAGAATACATTTTCACCTGTGCAGTATGATTCTTCACAGCCGAACTGTATGAACGTCAAAGCTGGTGACGTCAAACGGGCTCACTAATGCCGGTTAATATTGCGCTAAAGCACTGAAATACCATACCACATTATGCCATGGATACCCCACTCAGAAACGTATACTGACTCCCAGCCGACCAGGCCTTGTTTTATCCCCTAAATGCCGATCGCCAGGAAGACAGGGAGACATCAATTACCATTTTTTTACGTCTTTTGGTAATACGCGGCCTGGGATCAAACCCCCAACTCCCCTCCTTCCATGGAGGCCTTCTGTGTGCCGATAATTTAAAAGTCATTATAAAAATGTTTCGAATAGGTTCTGAAGTAATTTCACAGATAACTACAGAATTATTTTGATTGTCAATTTAGGCATATAGAGTCGATAGCTTTAGTGTGTGACATTCGTTACAGGATTGGGCGTACGAGAATATTCCATTACATAATTCTGGCATGCAGTCAAATATTCCATTTATTCTAGGGTGTGCAAAAACCCGATAACAAAACTACTATTTGATCCAAAACAATAGATCTGTATTGTTAGGGAATTCCCATTTTATCTCTGTCTTAGTCCGTCAGTCTTTACATCATTTCTAAAATACAGTCTCGCGCATATCGTTAAACGGTATAAAGCCAGAATGTGTCGTTCGACTTCAAATTTTGGTAAAAATATATCTGCATATAGTGTAACCTTCTTATTTTAAAAATATTAACAGGAAACACGGGCTGTGTTGTTTGTTTCTTTGCTTGTTTGTTGGTCAACGCCCCACTTAGCAATATTCCAGCTGTATCACGCGGCCACCAAATGATCAAAGCTGGACCGGACAATCGAGTGATTCTTAATCTGGGTAACGATCCACGCCCTGGGTGTACGCAATCAATGAAGTCACCGATTCGACCCCTCGATCCATTTAGTCGCCTCGTGCGACCAATCTCATGAAAACCAGATCTTAGTTCTCGCTACCGCTAAACAAATATCTGAGGACATCACATTACGGGTCACGTCAGACCGACCTTGCGCGAACTTTGACCGACCAATGGAATGACCAATCAGAAGGCAGCTTTCTCGTGCTTTACGGCACAAATTTCAAATTGGAGACTACGCTTCGAAACCTATTTTGACAAATTCTCGATTACAAATTTGAAACCTGGACAAAAAAACGTTCTTGAATGGTCTAGATTGTAAGGATTCAGTCGTTAAACCCGTAACGATCGTTCGGAATACCCCATGTTAAAGTTTTCGAGATTGCATGATTAGAAATCAAATTCCGACCGTCACTTTCATAATTTGGACGCACTGATTGGTCGGATGAAAGGTCGTTCTGACGTGACCCCTAATGGGATGTCTTCAGATCTTTGTTTAGCGGTAGCGAGAACTAAAGTACTCCCGGAAATGAAAAAAAACCTGTTTTTCTCAATTTAAAACTCGACACAAAGTTTTACGTCGCTATAAATACGAGATAACAAAACAACTCGAAAAGTACTAGTCTGGATTTGCTAGTTTGATCTCAGTGAACAATACAAAATGTACTTTACAGGAGGTAATTTGTCGTCACTTTCAACATTCAAAAATAAAACTAAGTCCAAATTGACATAGCAGAAACAGACTATAGGCATTATGTACCTGTTGTCACCTGTCGTCAAGGTGTCATAGCTCATGGACATTCACCATGATCTACGTACACCTGGTTATGCCCTGTTTCACATTTTTACACACTTTTACTTGTAAAAAGGCATAAAAACCTTTGATACGCTGTATTTATGCCAAGGCCCTATTAGTACTAATTGAGTTGTTGGAATATTTACATATTTTGTATATTAACTGCATTTATTTCGGATCTGAGGTCGAAAAAACAGGTTTTTCCGTGAGTACTTTAAGGTCTGATTTTAATGAGTTTGCTTGTGCGACCAGCACATTTTGCATGTGACCTGTTCGAGCGAGATATGGATATTTTATGAGTGCTTCGGTAAATTTCGTGCAAACGCGCAAAGGGGCGTTACTCTGGTTTGTGAACCAGTGCTGATCATTGTGCTTTGGTTTAGGCAGATATGCTTGGCGAGTGTATGAGAAGAAACATTGTGAAATTGGCCTAAGAAAATGTTATGCTGTCGAGCATTAAACCAGAAGCGCCAGCCTTTGGTCTTTACATTTCACAACTTTTGAGGTACAATCGCGCATCCTCATTCTACCAAGATTGTAAAGAGCATCACTCGCCTCTCGGTCAGAAATTGTTTCATCAAGGTTACAACATTCAAGGCGTCAGTAAAGCTTTCAAAACGTTTTATGGTAGACATGCGGAGGACATTTCCAAAATTGAGGAATCAGTGACAAAAATGATGTCCGATGCCGTTCCCTATTTTGACTTCTACCATGTGTTCCTGTGTATTTTCAGGTGAGGAGTGACTTGCCTTTGCATGTGTTTGTGACGTGTGCCACCGGTGGCGCAGGATATGCTCAGCTTTTCGCTAACACCTGGTACAATCACTATAAGATGGTGATTCATACACACATGGTCATGTCATAGTCGGAATCGTACAATCGACTCTGCTTAATGCAAAGATTTATCATGGATATGGAACGGGTTTTGTCGCTTTATTGTAATACAACAGTATTACTTTATCTTGCATGAATTGGGTGGTATTATCACACACCTACACTTGGTGATATGGTATTTCCATACATACATAATTTACAGATAAGATTGCTCTTTCAGTACAATCGTTTGAGTGTTTTTCTTGGAGTACTGACCCTTGCTGGCAATTATTAGAAAAAACGGAATTCATGAATTCGGTAAGGGCGGAAGGCAAAACTAGTCAACAAATGATGAATTCGAACGAACATGATATATTTTTTTCTTCTCTATGTGTCTGTGTTGAGAAAACACTCGCAATATTTGTTTTACTTGTAATGTGTTTTTTTAAGTCTATGAGACTTAAGGGTAAATAGAAAGTACATAAACATTTTGCATTTTTAAACAATTGTTCATATATATCACATTTGGTCCAGTAGTTTTCAAAGTACTCCATTTTTTGTTAGTTGTTCGGTTTAAGTTTTATTAACACCCTGAAATGCAGGACATTTGTTGGAAAGTGTACCGCAAGAATGAGAGAAAGACCGTTTAGGAGAAGGCTATGTATACATTTCTATCTTTCATATGTTATAAGTGGTCTACAAGCTCGTAAAAATCTTGATATGTTGTTGTTAGTTGAAATACATTATGTAAGTGAGGTAATCATATAGTATGTGTTGCTTGACTATATTTTATTCTAAAAACAAGTGTGCGATTGTGAGCTTCTTATGCATCTAACGGAAAAATAGAGCGGGAGACGTCCGATATCATTAGGGTAGGATAGGACTGTCAACGTCAGTGTGCATTGATCAATGATGCAACGCAAGACTTGTTTGGTGGTGGTGGGGGGGGGGGGGGGGGGTGATATACACAAAGTATGTATCTATGTTGGCCTAACATATCCTGTTGACGCATGATGCGTTCTTGTATAATCACAAGGCGGTAGTCTTTAATTATGTATGTTGAGAACAAAGAGGAGTTCTCAGCTGACATCACGTTTCCATATCCACGTTGCAATGCACACTTTCCTCTTCTCATTCTGGGTGCTGGGGAGAAGATGTCGGTTCAGGCACTCGCCGGTGTGATATTCTATGTTTGTATCACAGGTCTGCAGAACACAGTTGGTGAGTCTTTTATGTTTTAGGTTTGTATGACAAAATGCTTAGCTTTGATAATTACTCAGTCAAGACTATAAACTCATTGAGATTATTAAAACATTATTATTCAATATGTAACATAATGCCAACATTTGGAAGAGATACAGATACAAATGTTTAAACGATTGGCAACATTGATTAATCTTGAGAATGTCTTTGATCACAAAATCCAGTGCCGCCCTGAGAATATGAAACACATTTGAATTGACAATAGTTTGCTCAAACGCAATTAGTCCTCCAAAATACTTCTTGTCAGCTTCGGGGGCACGGGTGGCCCAGTCGTCTAAGGCGATTCGCTGTGCAGAGTTGCGTCCCTTGGGCAGGAAAGAAACCTATTATTGTGGGTTCGAATCCCGGTTCGCCCCGATTATGTTTCTAGGTTTTTCAGCACCATACCCGTGCTCGTGGGTTTCACCGAAGTCGTAAACGTCTGAGACCTGCATCACCTCGGGCTTTCCTCCCACATTAAGCTGACACGCCGTGATATAACTGGAATACTGTTAAAAGCGGCGTTAAACCATACTCACTCACTCACTCTTGTCAGCTTCATGCGGTGATTGTACCAGTGACATTTTACAACACACTATCAGTTTATTCATATATAACTGTAAGGCCACAGGCCCATAGTACAGAATAGATGACAATGTGGAAGCGGTTAGGAATGTTACAAGGATTCATTTCTTAATAACATGGCATGATATATAACGAGAGAGATTTTGTATAGCCGTTTTGCTCACATGTGAAATTAAAGAGATAAACTTGTATTTATTTGGATGTACATAGTATTTCTGTTCAATATATTTTTTCCTTAAATAATCATATTTACAACATACAAGTAGAAAATGAAATTCATCTTCGACAACATTTAAAGAACATTGTTTACATAATCTTAAACATTTGGGTATTTTGTTGTGCCTGCCAACTTCAACCATTAACCTGTGTGAGCTGCATCTAAATTGTGTTAATGATATTCTGCATTTTCTTATATTTACATCAGTTAAATATTTTTCTGCGCATATTTGCATTTTAAAATATCTATAATATTCGCATTTGCTAGAAACATCTACAGTAGATCTCCATGTTTGAAAGTACATGTCAAAAAGCGTCTGTCTTATTTTCGATATGAACATGGCATGATTCTCTAAGAAACATTGGTTTTCCCAGATGTAACCATACCCACATTTATACAGTAGACATTTAACATTGTAGGCCCAATTTTGATCTCCATTCTTTTCATACAATAGCATCATATTATAACATTTTTTTGGCAATCTACTTACTGGCATTTTTAGTAATTTTAACCAGTATCTTATGATTTTTAAGTAGTGATATATATACAAGGGCATGCGACCACACCACACCACACTTTCACCATAAACCATTACGTTAGACGTACTATGTTTAACAACAAGAAATCTTTTGCATGCGTATAAATGTACGGATTCAATTTCTTTAGCCTCTGCAAAACCCCATATTTCTGAACCATAGGAAAGAATAGGAGCTATTTTTGTGTCAAAGATTTTGAAGAAAGATTTATAAGCACACTCGCTAAAATGTTCAAACGTTTGTAAAATGCCCAATAGCATCTTTTTAGCTTGGATTGCTGCATTACATATATGTCGGTTCCATGATAATTTACTTGAAAATATTACACCAAGATATTTATATGAGGTTTCAGTTTGGAGTAATTGTCCCCGAAAGTACCACTTTTCGTTTTTTGACAGCGTATTTCCTTTGCTAAATACAACAATTTTTGTCTTATCTAGATTAACATTAAGTTTCCACGTATCACAGTACAATTCTAGCTGATTTATCAAAGTTTGTAAACCTTTTACAGTACTCGAGAACATGATTATATCATCTGCAAATAGTAACATAAATATTTTTATAAGTTCAGGATGTAATTGTATACCATCATCATAATTTCTTTTGATTTGGGCTGCAAGCTCATTAATAAATGAACAAAAAAGGGCTTAACACACATCCTTGGCGTACACCAGTATGACATATAAAAGAATCTGAATACATGCCGTTTTGTTTAACACATGATTTAACTTCCTTATAAATACCACATAACAATTTACCCATTTTATTACTGACACCATGTGAATTAAACAGATACCATAACTTATCTCTACAGACTGAATCGAATGCTTTCGAAAAATCTACAAATATAGCATACAATTTTCCACGTTTACGTTGAATAGACCTATCTATAAGAGCCTGGAGAATAAACATATTATCAGTGGTTGAGTAACCTTGTCGAAAACCTGCTTGCTCTTCCGCAATCTTATCAAGTGCTTCCGACCACAATACCAAGCGTTTATTAATAATGCTAAGAAATATCTTACTGAATATACTGGTAAGTGTAATCCCCCTATAATTTTCAACATCAGTCACTGAGCCTTTTTTGTGAATTGGAAGGATAGTTCCAAGTGTCCAACCTTTTGGAAAGTAAGAGGTATCCATTATTGTATTGAATAATATTTCCAAATACGACAGGGTATTATCAATAGAGTATTTAAAGAATTCTGTTATAAGTTTATCAAATCCCGGGCTTTTCAAGTTTTTCAGATTTTGAATAACAGATTTAATTTCTTCTTTTGAGATTGGGGAATCTAATATTTCCGTTGCAAAATTGGTTTCATCATTATCAAAAGAGTTCAACTGGAAGATATTTGTGGAATCATCAGCGCTGAAAAGATTTTTGAAGTAATTAAACCACTCATGCATTTCTATGTTACTTTTAGTTTCCTTCTTTTTGCTGATGTTTTTCAAGGTCGTCCAAAACTGTTTTGATGAGCTGATACTTTCTTCTAGTTTTTCTCTGCTTCTATCCATGAAATTTTGTTTCTTTTTTCTGCAAGTAGCTTTATACTTATTTTTCGAATCAGTGTACTTAGCAAGTGAGTCTTTATCCTTTATTTTCCTGAATCGTTTAAAAGAGTGCATCTTTCCTTCTTTTACAACTCACATTCCCAGTCAAACCACTGTTTACTTTCTCTGTTAGGGGTTACTTCCCTTTTCATTACATTCCCTGCATATGTAATAGCTTCTGTAAATAACGATACACTTTCATCAATATTTGTAAAAACAGAATCAATAGCTTCTCTTAGGAGGCATGCAAAGGTGTCTGATAACAGTCGTTCTTGGAAAATATCTGCTTTGCTGTTTTCCCACTGAAACATTGAATGACTATAGTAGGCGTTTTCAAATGGTGTTTTTCCACCTGAATGAAGCGCTCGTAATGACATTGTGATAGGCAGGTGCTGTGATTCGTGGCGTGACTCAATATCAAAATTTGGGCACAAGTCAAATATATCTATGGTGCTAATAATGTAATCGATAACACTTGCTCCAGCATTGCCAACAAATGTAAAATCACCTTTATCGGAATCACTTCCACAGTGGCCATTCATAATGTGTACATTTAAAACAGCACATAAATTGATAAAACATTTTCCAAAGTTATTAAGAATAGTATCGTTTGAATATCTACACAGATTAAACCTGTCTAAGAGGAAGTCCCAGTATGAAGTATCCTGGCCATGGAGATATTCAAGTATATCATCCTCTACATAATCTTGCTCTTTGCCTGTTCTTGCATTAAAGTCACCCCCTAAAATGCACGAAACGTCACCAACATCACCTAGGATGTCAAGCAGTTCATCCTGAAATAGCACTATACCGTTTTTAGATCCAACATTACTGTCGTACCATGTAGATCCTTCTGGGTGAATATACACACAGCAGTATAACACATGTTTTTCAAGTCCAAACAGTGACCTGTCTAGTAATAGATATACACCATTTGCTGTGATCCATGAGTTTTTAACATAAGCTAAAAGATGCTTTTTTACGAAGACACAAATTCCACCTGAAGGTCTTCCAAAATTTGCTATCTTGTCTGCTGTCTTAATAAAGTTGGGATATTCACAGAACGTATCATCAAAATTTAGTTTCTGGGTCCATGTCTCTGTCAAACCAATTATGTCAAATGTTTTTAAAAATGATAGACACTCACAGTCTGATAACTTTGAGAGCAACCCTGAGATATTTCAAAACACTAGTTTCACAGCATTAATGATACTACAAGTAGGTTCAGACGACGTCCCCTGTATATCCGGGCCCTGGCCACACCCCTATCTCTTCTGTGTCGGTCTCCCACCCCTGCCTGCGTTACCTCTGTCGGCCCGACGTGGGTTGTTTCCGTCACGTGACTCGGGTCGAGTCACCTCTGTATTTGCACGTGAAGCGTACTATCACATACAAGAGCAGACGACAGTTTACCACCTTTATAGAAATAATGTTTGCTTGGATCTTGTTCTTTGCATTGTTTTATTTCTTGTTTCTGGTTCCTCATCAGATCGTTTGCTTTACCGTAGCCTCTGGACTTAAGAGAACCTCTCAAGTTCAGAGTCTTTATTTTATCGTCACAATGAAGCATTTTTGCAATAACTGGGCGTGGTTTATCGGACGTCGTGCGTCCTATCCTGTGTGCCCTCTCGATATCCCTCAAAGTTAATAGTTCATTGTCCTCAGTTCTGGCAGAGTTCAGAACATCCAGAGTTTTAATTTTGCAAACAGAATAAGATTCGTTTGCGCTCTCTGGGATACCATAGATAATAATGTTGTTCCTTCTGCTACGCCTCTCAAGATCCTTTATGCGTGAATCAATAGCATCAAAACCATTATGGATCTCATCAACATTATCATTGACAGCATCAATATCTAACCTCATGATGTTATTTTCTTCTTTGATCTCATTGAGTTGTTTTTCAAGATCTGTGACGTCACCACGCTACAACTGAATGTCGTTCCTCATTGAACTGATCTCGTTTGTTAGTTTATTCCCCGAATCTTTTATTTGCTGATTGATTTCTGATTTCATGTCTTCTAGGTCTTTATTTAATGGCCCAGGGTTTAACTCTATATCTCCTGACAGATATATAAGAGTACATGCACATGGATTACACATCCAACTGTCTCGAGAGTAGTCTGTTTTTTTCAAATGTAAACAAATGGGTGTGATTGTACTCACATATATGAAAGTTTATTCTGGTGTCGAACATACTCAGATAAGAACACACGTAGCTTGCGTTGTTTGCAATGTTCATACCTGAAGTGTAGATCGACAGTAATAACACTGTGCAAAGTAGTATCCGATATGCAATGTCTGTTCCTGGCGTCCATTGCGATGTTGATCGATACGGTTGCATTTTTTCAGTCCGTTCAGGCTGAAGACAACCGATCCGGGCTCTCCATATATTTATCGGAACACCCATGCTCACTGAGTAGGATTTTGTCACTTATAGACCTTCCTTTCAAATCTTTTTCTTCGATGTTTGTGGGAGCTATGATAACAACAACCGCGTCCAACGGGAGGTAACTCAGTTAGTTACAACACACCACAAACCTGTGGTTAACACAATAGGATATAACAACATGTGCTTAGCTTGTTTTGTTTGTTTGTTTGTGGTTAAACGCCGCACTCAGCAATTTTCCAGCTATATGACGGCGGTCTGTAAATAATCGAGTCTGGACCAGACAATCCAGTGATTGACAGCATGAACATCGATCCACGCAATTGGGATCGATGACATGCATCAACCAAGTCAGTGAGCCTGACCACCCGATCCCGTAAGTCGCCTTTTACGACAAGCATAGTCGCCTTTTACAGCAAGCATGGGTTGCTGAAGACCTATTCTACCCCGGATCATCACGGGTCACATGTGCTTAGTAGGTTTAATATATCAGTGATGGAGACAGTTTCACATCGGTAACTCGTTTCGGGGTTGGGATTGATGCAGCTGAAACAGATTTATGGGAATATCCTGGCCAACCAAATGTAGGTCAGAGGCCAACACATGATGCAGGTTTATATTATGTATTGAGGGCAAAATCACCACTCTTAAGCAATGTGACTGGTTTAAGTATTGGCTAAAAAGCTACAACCACACACTTTTCATTCATTTAATAATCTACATGGTGTAATGACAGCCGAACAGGTTACTTTTTGATCGAAATAAAGCATGCATTTATGCTTGATACGATTCGCTAACATTGCCTATGTGGTGATATGTTATCCTGTTATGCTTTGAGTAACTTGGAACATACAGATCTAGACATCGGCAGAATTTACACAAGCAATCCAAAGTGGCTTAACCCATCTCCGATAAAAGTTAACTCATTCGTGATTGTCACTAAGATAACCAATGACTGCTGTAAGGTATACCACAACTTAGAGAATGCTATTGTAGTTCATTAAAGGTGAGTATTTGTTACAACCTCCTTTGAAATACCTCTCAGTCAACGTTCTATCAGATCAAATAACTATAAGATCATCATTTTCTCAACATGAATGCGGTGATCTTAATTCGTATTCATATTCATAAGTGGTATTCGTCTCTGCTGTTTCTTTCAGGAGAAAGCATTGCTTTCGGCAAAAACGCCAAACAAAGTACCACTTATCGAGAAAATGATGCAAGCCACGCCCTCAATCGGACGTTCTCGTATACAGGATCAGTTACAGGCCCTGTCATCTCGCCCTGGTGGGAGGTCGACCTGAGGGGCTACTTTAGAATCAGCATCATCACCCTCACAGCAGGCAAATTTTGTACGTTCAAACAAACAAACAATATGTAAAAAAACGAGAAATCCTGAGTGCAGTGTGAACATTTTTCAAGACCTCACTATTGGTGACCTAGTTGCTTGGATCGCGATGTCTTTATCCTTTCAATATCAGTATTGCCGGCCAGTAAATGAACTAAACATAGAATGTTTTCATTTTGCATACAGGACCTTACTTACATGGCATAATATCTCTTTTATCACGGAAGTAATATAATGTCTCTATTTGAACATTGTGTCAACCGCATGTCACAGCAGTTTGCATGCAAGGTAGATGTTAGCCACATGCTCCTTAGCCTAACGTTATAGTCAACTAAAAGTGAATGCTGAGCTATTTATATGTTGCAGATATTAACATGAGAAATGCCTCCGTGGAGGTGATGGACAAAGATGTCAGCCTCTGCTCTGATGTCCAGTCGGAGTGGTGTGGGAATGTGTCCAGCACTGCCACTGCTCGGGAAGAGTTCACCTTCACCTGCAATGCCACATTCCCTGTCCGCTTTGTCCGTGTCACAAGGCGATCTACCAACTATACATACCTCGCTATCGGACATGTGGATGTTCAAGGGATCGGGGCTACAAAACGATACCGTGAGTATGCTGCCAGTAGAGTGTTATTAACAACACACACACACACACACACACACACACACACACACACACACACACACACACACACACACACACACACACACACATCCTCCTCCCCACGAAGTGGAAGGGGATTATAGGAATGGGTGCCGTCCGTCCGTCCGTCACATTTCGTTTCCGGGGCAGAACACAAAAAACATGAGACACATCTTAACCAAACTTGGCTCATAAATAGGTCTAATGGAGAACTGGTGCCTTTTGATAGTTTAGAAAACATCTTTTTTTTAAATAATTCTAGTTTCCCTTGCAACGACTTTGACTTCAACTGAAAATGCAGTAGTCCTAGTTTCCGGAGCAGATCTTGAAAACTGAAAAATATTTCTTCACCAAACTTGGCAAATGACTGGTGCCTTTTTATAGTTTGGGATTTTAAAAAAACACACTATTTATCTAGTTTCACTGGCAACGACTTTGACTTAGACTTAAAATGGCGAAAGTGCTTGTTTCCGGAGCAGATCTTGAAAACTGAACAATATTTCTTTACCAAACTTGGCACATGAAAAGGTCTAGTGGTAAACTGATGCCTTTTGACAGTTTGGGACTTTTGACAAAAATATTTTTCTAGTTTTCTTGGCAACGACTTTGACTTAGACTGAAAATGGCGGCAGTGCTTGATTCAAGAATAGATCTTGAAGACCGTACAGTATTCTGTCATGGTTGAAAGATAACAGTATCCAGGAACTTTAGTATGGGGCCTCACAATCCACAAGTCTCAAAGTAGCACCTGTGAGCAGATGATTGGGAACATGACAATTACACAAGGTAGTAAATTAAAAGCCCAGCCTGCTCAAGTGTATACAATGCTCAGTAGGGTCAAATCGAGGAAAGGCCTAAAATTTGTAGGTTTTGCTGAACACAAAATTGTAGTAAACAAAAAAAGCATTGGATGAGATGACTTGATTGCGGAATGAAAGACTGTTCACCTGGACACACCCTGTAGAGAACAGTCATGGCGATGGACTCAAGGTGGCTCACTTGAATGTTCGATCCATCAGTTCTCATTTCGAAGATGTGGAGAAGGATAAGTTTGTTGGTGTGCTAGATGTTCTGTGTTTCACAGAAACATACATCAATTTGTTCACTCACTCATTGACATAAATTTTACAAGTTTTCATTCAGTTTACTGTATGTAGGTATAGTGACCAGTTAGTTGAGCCCTTTTAGATTGTGAAATATTCACCAATCTCTTGTCATATTTTAGATGCCCCCCTTAATCTCCTTTTGTCTGACCAATCACCACTCTCGTGCGGATTTTCTTCTGGGGGCGAATATATTTCGTGACACCGGCCTGTTTAACTCCGGTCAGGGGCACATTTGTTTTTGTTTTGAGGGACGATGTCGCCTGTCGTTTTTTATCGTCTGTTTTACGTTATTTTGCTAATTTGCTACTTGAGTTTACTTGCCCTTTGATGATTCTGTTTTAGCGTTCAGAAGAAACTTTACAAACTGAAAATATAAATTTCAGACAAAGTATACATTTTTTTTCGATGAAGTCTATCTAAAACCCATAACATAAATACAACAATAGTGTATGCAGAAAATGTTAATCGTCTGTTACATGTTTGCGAGATAACACGCGAAAAAGTGAAAAACACGTGCACCACGGACAACTGCAAATGCACGTGCGAGTAAGGGTATAAAACGATTGCAACGGCAAGTCAGACATCCACAGTGATAAAAAAACACAAAAGAAATGCCACGACTCACAGTCAAACAACGTGAACGATCCTTGGGTATGGTACAGATGGGAGCCACCCACGCCCATATTGCACGGACCTTCGGTTGCTCCCGTGTTGCCGTTACCGACTTGATGCAACGTTACAGACAGACAGGGCGGACCGCTGACAGGCCAAGAACAGGCAGACCCAGGGTGACCACGCCCCATGATGACAGGTACTTGCGTACCTTGCACCTCCGAAATCGCTTCCTGACAGTGACGTCATCGGCGACAAATGCCTTAGGTCACAAGGTTAGTCGACAGACAGTGGCCAGGAGACTCAGGGCTCATGGAATCAGGGCTGTTAGACCATACAGAGGACAGCTATTGGCAGCGCAACATCGTCGTCTGCGATTGGGATGGGCCCGGACTGTACGACGTTGGCAACGACGTGACTGGCAGAGGGTTGTCTTCAATGACGAAAGTCGATTCTGTATGTTTAGGGCTGATGGAAGACAACGTATTTACCGCCGAAGGGGTGAAGGAACGGCGGCGTGTTGCGTGCAGGAGGTCGTACCATATGGTGGAGGGAGTGTCATGGTGTGGGGAGGGAACTGTGGGCAGGAGAGGACACCGCTGGTCATCGTTGACGGAAACTTGACAGCTCAGCGTTACATGGATACAATTCTTCGTCCAGTTGTCCTACCATTTCTCCAACAGCAGCCACGTGGTGTCATTTATCAGCATGACAACGCTAGAGCCCATACAGCCAGAATTTCACAAACTTCCTCGCAGCCAACAACGTCAACCCCCTGCCGTGGCCTGCACGCTCACCCGACATGTCCCCCATAGAACACCTCTGGGACTTGATGGATCGTCGTGTTCGACAACGACCACACTCTCCAGCCAACCGGCAAGAACTGATCTTGGCCCTCCAAGAAGAATGGCGTCAAATCGCATGTGACCTCATCAGACGACTGACTTTTTCTGTGCGTCGAAGAGTTTTTGCGTGTATTGAGGCATTTGGTGGTCACACACGCTACTAATGACTTCTTATTGAACGTGAGCGATTGTTTATATACTCTGCCTATTGTCCATGATTCTGAAAGCTCGAGTTTTGTACCACACCCAACTTTGGGGGGCTCTGACGTCATTCTCGGTCGCGGTATGATTGTCATTTTCAGTGTTGATTATGTTGATACATTGATCTTCTCAATATACTTTACTTTATGCATGTATGTTTTGTTGTTTTTGAGCAAGAGTGATTTCAAACTCTGGTAAAGTTTCTTTTGGACGTCAGTATATATTCTTATCATTTCAAATATTATTAGTCATTCACAGCACAAATCTATTGATTGGCAGGTGTTTGTTCATTGTAAAACACTGCACTAAGCAATGTTCCAGATATACGACAGCAGCCTCTAAATACTCGAGCCAAGAACAGGCAATCCACTGATCGATATTGCGAGCAACGATCCAAGGTTCTCTTCATCTAACAAACATTATTTTTAGAAAACAGAAAGGGGCTAACAAGCGCACTTTCCAGCTCTCACCTTCTACTTTCTAGGTTCCCACTACACGCCCACAGCCAACGGGAAGGTGTCCATCCCATTCTTGACTACATCAGCCGTAACAGCCGGAGCTTGTGGCATCCTTTGTCATAAAAGTCATTCTTGCATCGACTTCAGCTACAGCACAACTGCCTCAACTGAAGCTAACTGCATGCTAACCGACAAAGTAGTACCCCAGAATTCTTCCGGACATAACCACTGGACCATGTACACCCTGGCCAGCTGCCTGTAAACACCACTCAACTCAAACTGGAAACATTGAAACTACACTCTGAATCGTAACAGAAGTAGACTAGACATTTGATTTAAACAATATTTATTTCCCAGAAAAGGAATGGGATTGACGAACAGGTTCAACCTATTTAAACACCTCTCCCTACAAAGGACATTTAACAATTAATGGGAGTAAACTGGTAGACGAGACATTTGTTGTGGAAACATTATTTATATATTATACAGAAAATTGTCAGTGGGATAATTCGGACTTTGTGAGAGTTTTTCGTCAAATGAAATGATTGTAAACACGTCTTTGGAATCAGAACATTTGTAGTGACATTGCTGGAACAGTAATGCATGGGATACTTCCTTTTATTCCTTTTAAGAGATTGTGACGATTCTAACACACTTTTTTTGTTAGATCACAGAAACTGCACAATCACTTTGCTATCACCACAATAGTAACACGTATGTTTTATGTCTGTTTATTACGTGTTCATCACACTTACTTTTAATACTGGCAATAGCTTCATACTCTGCCAGTATCAGAAACAAAAGTACTTGACTGTTGAACCATGTCCCTTGGAATTTCCAGATACCCTGTAACCAGCCATCTGGGCATGTTGCGTTCACTCCCAGTAATGAGGAATGTCTTGAATGTCACAAACTCTCAAGGGTGACGATTATCATCTCCAAGTAGAACCAGCCAGAGAAATGTTACCTTTGGGTTGTGTTAATGTCCCAAATCTCATATGTGACTTTCTCCCCAGTCACTTCATTGTTGAGCCGTCCTGTCACCACCATGACTGGAGCATGCCCTAGAGCCTATTCTAACCCGATTAGAATAGGTCCATCCCGGCAGATGTCCTTCCCGTGTGAGCCGAATATATGGGTGTACTGCTGTCACGTGTAAGGCAACAAACAGACATTTACTTTTGTATGCAAATTGTGTGAGTAGCGGGTACTATAGCGGTAGAGCTGGACATGTTTTCCCTTTTAGAGAACACCTGGTGTCGTCACTGATTTTCAGTGATCCGGTCATATAATTTTCACCACTATTTTGGATTTTTCACCCAATGGAATCTGTTTCGGCAGATTTCTGTGTTGTTTGTGAGTAGAAATAGAATTTTAGCCAAGTGAGAAATGTGTTGAGTGTTGGTGGTAGTGCAGAAGGTGGTATAGAGTACTGTAGAAATAACCAATGCTTACTGTTGACTGATTTTGCGTTCTATGGAAACTTTGGTTTTCGTATTTGATGGTTTCCGGCTAGTTTCTATTTATTGGTTTACTAGTGGTTATCATGACGTGGGAATCTTACTCATGTCCGAGTTGTCTTAGTTTGCTTGCCATTTAGTTTCCCGAAACACGAATGTTACCCTCTGTCAGAATAGTTTACGTCTGGTTGATATTAGGTGTTGGTTTCAGTATACCCGGAAACTTACACACGTCAAGTTTCCTACTGATTTCCTGGTCGTTTCCATAAATCTTGTAGATATTTTCAGCTTACTCTGTGTGTGCTTCATTAGCTCTCCTGTTGGAGAACAAATGTTAAGTTTCCGCCTGGTTAAGTTTTGTTTCCGATGAGAACCTGATATTCACAATGTGTGGCCTGGTCACGTTGTAACACTCGAGCATACTGCGGTCACCATTGATTTGTCCACATCACCTTCATCATCAAGACGTTTTTTATGATATACCCACATCATTGCTAACTGAAATCTCCAAACAAAATCACTCATTCACTCTGCTGAGTTTTAGCTTTAAAACATTTATATTTTCACTATTTCGTAGATTCTTAGACACATACTAGATGCTCAAATGTGATTTTGTCCTTCCAAGTAAACAAATAGTTTTTGTGTTGACGGTTACATAATCAGTCCCTTGATTTTCCACAAGTAGAATTAGTTTTTGCCATACTTACATGCACATATATGTTGCCAGATTCTTATATCAACTCTTAGTGTCTTTTTATTGTGTACATGTAAACGTCTAAAATCTGCATCACTGCTGGCGTTCCTCCCACATGAAGTTGACACACAGTGCTATACCTGAAATACTCTTCAAAGAAACGAAACTGAAATTTGAACAACAAAAGAAACTGAGGTTTACGCAAAATCACTCATCTTAGTCAAACATGCAGGCAAAGACAACTCTCAGTCCATGTAGGAATGTCTCAGACAATTGAAACTTAAAGCGAAACATATCAAAACATTTCATTGAAATATCCCTTTTCTCTTTGGAAAAGTAAATACATCAATAATTATGCAATTGTTTCATTTCATAAACAAACTCTTTTTAGTGTGATACGTGCCCCCTTAGCGATACTGCAGATGCAGGTGTGTCAGAAAAAGTCTGAAAAACATTATTTTAGGAAAGGGAACTTTGTTTTGAGACTTTTTGAGAAATACAATTAAATAAAGTGTTTGCAGCCAAAATGTTTTCTGTTTTTATTTTGTATGCTGTTTGACTCACCACTCAGCAATATACTAGTTATATGACGGCTGTCTTTAAATAATCGCGTCTGGACCAGATACCCAGTGGTTGACATCATGAGCATCGATCTACGCAATTGGGATACGGTGATAGTCCATATGACATTTCTTATTCCCTTTATGCCGAGTAAAGTCCAGTCTTTGGTGTCTTTACTTCACGTTGAGAATTTATTCGCCCATGTTCTTTCACCAAAGATTTCAAATAGCACCATAGGATTATTGCATATCGCATTTCAAAAGGTTTTTAGTTAAACATATGGAGGACATTTGCAAATGTGAAGTATCACTGACGGAAGAGATGTCTGATGCGATTCCCTATTTTGACTTGTACCACATGTTTTTATGTTAAGTAGGGAAAGGATTTATGTGTGAACAACTTCTATATAACAATTAGGAGCACGTTTCTTTGTTGGAAAGTTCTTCTCCGCTTTTTATTTATGTTTATAGTTCCGGGAAAGGAGTCTTTCGGTGCAACAAGTCAATTAGCTCTTACGTATCACTTACTAGACTTTTTCTGGTATTCCATCATAATTGTAGAGAAATGGTTGTGTGAAAATGTTAAGAATCGTAAAGGGGTATAATTTATTTATGTCTTCACTTTACGATACATATCCATACCAGGAGCCTTTTGTTTCTATCATGAATAATAACTTATGGCACCGATCAACCCTTCAAGTTATATATTTTATTATGCTCTATAACAATGCTTTAGCCATTGTGCTTGGTTTTAATGCAGGGGTCGCTGGTTAACCGTACGAGTCAAATGGTCCAGGTCCGTGGGAATATTTGGAATGAAGCGAATTCGATTACTGAGCCATGGACGTCTGTGAGAATGACTGCAGGCAGATTTATGACAGTATAAATTAACAGGAATGCATCTTTAAACTAAACTACCGTGGCGCATAGATGTCATTAGTTATGGTCTGCCAACGCCTCTTTTAACAGTATTCCAGTTATATCGCGGCGTGTCAGCTTCATGTGGGAGGAAAGCCCGAAGTGATGCAGGTCTCAGACGTTTACCATTTCGGTGAAACCCATGAGCACGGGTATGGTGCTAACAAACCTAGAAACATAATCGGGGCGAACCGGGATTCGAACCCACAATCATAGGTTTCCTGCGTGCCCAAGGGACGCAACTCTGCACAGCGAATCGCGGCGTCTTGGACGACTGGGCCACCCGTGCCACCGCGGGTATTGTTATGGCGGTTGAATGAAACCATGTGCTGCCAGTTCGACTCACAATCTGATCTGGTGGTAGAGCGCCCGCCCGGAGAGCGGAAGGTCCGGGGTGCGTACCCCGCTGCGTCATACCATAAGACACACACACCACATGCATGCACACTCAGACACACACACACAGACACACACATACAGAGAGAGAGAGACACACACACACACACAGACACACACACACACAGACAGACACACACAGAGACACACACACACACAGACACACACACACTCAGACACACATACATACACACACACCACAAGCATGCACACTCAGACACAGACACACACACACACACAGACACACACACAGAGAGACACACACACACAGACACACACACACACACAGAGACACTCACACACATAGACACACACACACTCAGACACATACACACACACACACACACACACACCACATGCATGCACACTCAGATACACACACACACACACACACACACACACACACACATACATGCATGCATTCACGTCGCTATATAAGTATAAGTGCAATAATCCTGGACGCGACGTTAAACCTCATTTCCCCTGCCCACAGATGCTAGCCTGCACACCACTAACAGGACCATTGGCATGTCGGACAAGACCATGTTGCTTTGGGGGGATTTCGACATCTTCAACTACAGCAAAGCAAAATAACCAAAATTCATGCATTATTTGTTTCGGGATAACCCAGTCTCATATTGTAGTATTGTCAGCTGTGTATAATGTTTGTTTTAAGGGAGTTTTGCATGACCTTTGTAACTTCTATCATCAATAGATATTTGCAATATTTTCTTATTTCGAGATCAGCCTATTTCTCATAGGTCACGTGACCTTTCAATCAAAGTAGCGTTCATTTACGTTGTTTTTAGGGTGACGTAAATCCTTGCAAGCAATATTTCAGTGACCTGAGAGCAAGTGTAGCACAACGGACAAACTCAGTCTTCAGTTTCAACAGGTTTTTAATAATAACATGGACTAATTGCATACGCTAGTAATACGAACACTTCACAAGGGCGTGGCAGAGACTGTGAGAGAGGCTATGGGCTGTTTCGGGCGTGACCAGGTTTGACTAGAGCTTGTCCTAGTATGCTGGCCTTCTGAGCGTTGACTTGGTTGTTAGATGCTGGCCGTTAGCTCGTGTTGTTATGCCGTTCTTCTGGACTGCTCTGTCGGTCTGGTCCTGGTCAGTGTACAGCGCCCTTCTCTGCCTCTCTGCCGTCTGTACTGACGATGCTGTATATATAGGGGTTTTCTCAGCTGATTAGCTGAGACTCTGTCACAGCATAATTGGCCATCAAGTTCTCAGAGTGTCACAACAAGCCTCCAGCTCAATCAACCGTTATAACTGCTAGTCGCAAATGAGCCATTAGTGACCCTCAAATCTTTTAGGGGGGTCATTAAATACCAGAACGCACAGAGGGTGTCTTCTTGAATATTAACATGGATCAGTAACTGTTTTCCTTCGATGGTCACAATAAGCCCACCTGTCCACACAGCCTCTGCCATACTGAATAGTGTTACATTCGCCCTTTTCTTATTGAGAAATTTTCAGCCTAAAATTTCTGAAAATATGACCATCCATAGATACATGAATACATCAAAATATATATACAATCCACAACAATCCGTTGTCCATTTCATTAGCATATAGTTAATACGTATACATATTTATATAAGTTCACAAGATACAACATGTGCTGAAAACAGGATACAGTTTATCTTTGCACACAAAGAACTGAAGTGCAAAACACCGGCACAATGTTAGATCGTCTTTCCTGCGTTGTGTATATTTCTTTTCTTTTCCACAGTCAACTTGTAAAGTGCTGTAGTATGGTGCTCTGACCATATGCGACGACAACACTTCATGTAGTTCTCTGCTGTCCGCACTCCTGTCAACGTGCGTTAGTCGAACTCACGATGCCCTCGGGTACCCGCATCCAGCGTCGGGTAGATGCTCCGTATGGCGGGAGTTGGTCGAACTTCTGCTGGATCGGAGTCCCTTTGTGTCAAGAGTGGCGCAGAGGGTAGGTTTCCTCTGTAGGCGCGACCTGCGCTCCCAGTGTCAACTGGCGCCATCTCAAACTCGGTTGTAGCCAAGGTCTAATAATCACTTCTCGCTTGGCTAGCCAGGGTCTAATAAATCTTACATACAAGAAAATCCCCACCAGAATTCCCACTACAGTTAAGGTTATTCCCAAGAAATATTTCCAATCTGAGGTCTCCTCATCTGGTACCATGGCCTGTAAATCATTAAGCTGATCTATAAGATGATTCATGGGGATATTCTCGATACTCTTGAGTTTATCAGGTAACTTAGTCAAGTTCAGTTTTATAGCAGTTTTCATGAAAGGTTTCCAAAGCAACATGTTTGAAACATTCGGGGTATGGACTAACTTCAGAAAATTATCTTCCAACTCGTACTGGCTTTCATTATGATAATAAGGAAGTAAAGTCAAATGATCATTAGATGCTGAACATGATGCGTTCAGTTTAACTATTGCCAACGGAGGTAAGACCATTATGGTATATGAAAACTTGTTATCCGTATCACATACCACTGCAAGATCCAACCTTTTATTGGTTGTCAATACCCAGCGTCCCGCAGTAAGGTATTCTGCCCTAGGCAATATAGCATTTGGTTGGACTTCGGTGTGACATGTCCGTCGGACCTTTGTCTCATCTTTCATAAACAGAGCAATTACACATAGTTGGCTAAGATTGATTGGGTAGATCGGGCTCTGGATATGGCAATAGCCCGTAAGGGGTTTTGTACATATCTGAACTTCTGAGGGTTTCAGCAATGCATATTTCGTACGTTGTGCATTGACAGCGATTACCTCGGTTTCTAACCGATATTTTGCTACCATATTATTTATGGTGTTTGATCCTGTATTTATATGATTCATGACTAGAGGTACCGGCAAATTATGAGCCTGGTATATTCCGTATTCACCATTAACATCCAAAAGTGGAATCGTCGTGATTACTAATATTTTATCATCAAATAGGACGGTGGTACAAAGTAAAGTCTTATAGAAACCCCATAAATTGTCTACCGGATTACTTGCTAACCGGAATCTAATAGGGAGGTGAGTTTCTATGTCCTTTAATAGAGCCAACAACTGGCTTGGTGTTATGGTGCTGGGTGACAGATGACCCAAAGCCAACATATTCATTTGCAGCTGGAGGTGTTCTAAATAGGACAAAAAGGTTTGTACCATGCTTCGAATATTTTCGATTACTAATTCCACTTGCAAATAGGTCTTTGTTGCCCATTCTAACTTTGCTATTTGATTGCTCAATGTAGTGGAAACATTAGCAATTTCTTGTCCCACTATATCCAGATCGTCAATGACTTCATTAATGGCATGTCGATTCTCTGATACTTGAAATCTTGTAGCATTAATAATAGAGAGCCCTTCTTGAATGACATGCGCCATACCTGCTTGATTCTCTGCAAGCCTTCGTACATTTTGTTTAATCGAACTTAGGTCAGCGTCAGACACAGTGCCAAATAAGAAACTCAAGGCACTACCGATAAACGGCAATAGCGAACGCTTGGGTCGTGTGCGCAACCTACCATATTCTAAAAAATTGTCTGCTAGGCTATTTAAAGTTGTATTCAATCTTGTTATTTCTTCGTCTAATTTGATGTACATGCTTAAGATGCCTGTTGATTTATCGGAGTGGTAGCGGCTTAAGAACTGTCTAACCATCATTGCGACTTGCTCAATATTATACCTACACTTCCCAATAAACTGATTATATGGGTCTAAATCAATAACGAAGGTTACTAGCCATTTAGACCTAGTCGTGGTAATATCATTCAGTTTTTGAAATACAATGTTTTCATACATAATCGAACCCTGTGCTAGCCCCAGGAGGAAGAGTAAACCCAGAGGAAACATGTTCTCTCCAAGTTGGTCTGAGCGTCAATCTTCACTTGTCCCAGGCTGTTTCTTTGTTTTGACAGGGATCCGGGTCACGGCACCAAAGAAGAACCCTCTCGTGCTCTATGTAGCACAACGGACAAACTCAGTCTTCAGTTTCAACAGGTTTTTAATAATAACATGGACTAATTGCATACGCTAGTAATACGAACACTTCACAAGGGCGTGGCAGAGACTGTGAGAGAGGCTATGGGCTGTTTCGGGCGTGACCAGGTTTGACTAGAGCTTGTCCCAGTATGCTGGCCTTCTGAGCGTTGACTTGGTTGTTAGATGCTGGCCGTTAGCTCGTGTTGTTATGCCGTTCTTCTGGACTGCTCTGTCGGTCTGGTCCTGGTCAGTGTACAGCGCCCTTCTCTGCCTCTCTGCCGTCTGTACTGACGATGCTGTATATGTAGGGGTTTTCTCAGCTGATTAGCTGAGACTCTGTCACAGCATAATTGGCCATCAAGTTCTCAGAGTGTCACAACAAGCCTCCAGCTCAATCAACCGTTATAACTGCTAGTCATTAAATACCAGAACGCACAGAGGGTGTCTTCTTGAATATTAACATGGATCAGTAACTGTTTTCCTTCGATGGTCACAATAAGCCCACCTGTCCACACAGCCTCTGCCATACTGAATAGTGTTACACAAGCTAGTTTATGAGAACTAGAAATCGAGGATAGCTAGCTTAATATGTGTGGACTGACCGCAGTAACGTATATAGTACCGCTTTTGTGAAAACAATGAGCTCATGGCATTTTTATGATTCAAATCCAAGCTGAGCGGATCATTGTTCGGCTAAGGGACGCAACTCTGTTCGTAGAATTGGGCGCCTTACACCACATGTCCATCCTTGCGTCCTCCATTTACGTGATGTTACGATATGACCATGTGGCCATGGCAGCGACCACATCCCGGAACAAGGATGTTGATTTTGTGAAACGTTCCCTGATTGCGATAGTCCCCATATTGTAACACGGACGAGTAGGCTTGAAAAAGGCAATGGTGAAAACTGGACCTTGATATTGGCTGGTGGACACTCTTGCCTTGGGAAGATGTGGCGTCACCTGCTGTGATGTGGCTCGAACGTTGGTAAAAGAAGCATATACCTCAACTCACTCACTCACTCACTCACTCACTCACTGATGCCCCTCAAAATCATAAACTATTCAAATCCTATCACAAGGTCATTGTGTCATATCAATGTCTGACACACTACCTTGTGTACAGTGGCCTTGACAGATAGGACCCGTGAAGATCCGGGGTAGAATAGGTCTTCAGCAACCCATACTTGCCGTAAAAGGCGACTTTGCTTGTCGTAAGAGGCGACTAACGGGATCGGGTGGTCAGGCTCGCTGACTTGGTTAAAACATGTCATCGATCCCAATTGCGTGGATCGATGCTCATGATATCAATCACTAGATTGTCTGGTCCAGACTCGATTATTTACAGACCGCCGTCATATAGCTGGAATATTGCTGAGTGCGGCGTAAGACAACAAAACAACCAACCAACTTGACAGATAGCCGGACTGATATTCCTGTATATGATAGTGAGTCATGGTGGTAATCTTTTCAGCTTGCGTACCTGGGTTTACTTACATGCCTTTGTTTACTGAATCGATGTAGCAGTCACCAAGTCTACTGCAGTGAATAATGCACGTTCATCCATCCTGTGTTGTTGGCCAATCCCATGATGAAGGCTATGGTATATATATTTAATTAGAGAGATAATGGGGTAAAAGCCAACTTAAAAGTATTTCAGTGCTATGATAGCAAGCTAGTTTATGAGAGTACGATGGGGATATAATACCTAGGCTAATCGAGGACAGCTAGATTTAGATGAGAGGTCAAAGTGGCGCAAGTTGTTCCATGTTTGTGAAGACAAGGAGCTAGGGGTAAATTTGGGATTGTCAACCGCGATCAGCGGATCATGGTACGGCTAAGGGACACAACTCTGCTCGGAGGATTTATTGCAGTGAATAATGCACAGATATCCACCGAAACTGCATTTAAGCTTAATTGTGTTTTTTTCTTTTTATTTGTTTAAAACTTACTTGACCCATGGGAGTAAAAACATGTTGAGTACCCAAAGAAGGCGGTCAATACCTAACGTGAAGAATGGCTACAATAATTATCTTAAGCCTGTCAGGACACAAACCTTTCACTAAGCATGCATCAGTACATTCAACTGTATGTATGTGTACATTCGAAGTGAAAAGTGTGCATATGTGACATGTTATAAAACAAGCTTCATCACATTGCATGCCCCCGTCGAGATCCAGGTTAGAACTAGTCTTTTCAGTGAGTGAGTGAGTATGGTTTTACGCCGCTTTTGGCAAAAATCCAGCAATATCATGGCGGGGGATACTGGGAATTGGTTTTGCACGTTGTACCCATATGGGGAATCAAACCCGGATCTTCGGCGTGACGAGTCGACGCTTTAACCACTAGACCACCGTACGGCTCCATGAGCTGAATTGGCATGTACACTATGATATCGAAACTCTTAAAATCCCGCAAAGTAATCACAAGGTAGTCACTAATTTGTCGTCGTACCCGGAAATCGTTTCTCGTGCTGTGAGTTGCTTTATTTGTGTATAATGAAAAGAAAAACAATTTGTTTCTCTGCAATGTATGTTCGGAACGTATCAGAAGATAGCATCAAATCTGATTTTTCTTTCTCAAAATGTTGAAATATAAGAAGCACGAGAAAAATCAAGTACAACAAATACGTGTAAAACAAAAAAAAATGATTATGTTTTTTTTTTGTTTTTTTTTATAACTACTTACATGAACACATGTACAGATTCCAATGAGGATCACTCACTGACACACGTATCCATCTACACACTCACCTACTCACTCACTCACTCCAAACACTTACTGACATACAAGCCAGTTATTTCTCGTCATTATCTGACTAATGTAAATAACATTTGATAACATTGATGGACTGTTACCTTGCAAGTGACACACTTAGATAACAACATATCTGTCCGAATACACTATCACAACGTTATAAACTGTGAACAAAGCCATGGAAAAACAGCCCCTCTTAAACAAGGAACCGCCAGCCACGTCACCTACAAAGGCTGACTCCGCCCCCAAGGCTCCAGACAAAACCAGGTACGGGACACTCCTATTTGTGAATATCGTGACCTGTCTGTGGACTCTGGCCCAGCATCTGCATTCCCCGGTGGTCACCCAGTACCTGTATGTGAGGGTCAAGGAAGAGGTGTACCCAAACGGTACGGAACCAGAGAAGCACAACGTCACCTGCTTCCAGAACAGTTCCACAGAAGGCTTCAAACTGCAGGAGAAGGCACAGCAGGTAACAAACGCCATGCAGATGCAGTTCTCGTTATCGAAAACTGGATGCGAGTTGGTTGTCAATCTATTGCTTGGCTCCTTCTCGGATTATGTAGGGAGAAGGGTTCTGTTTATGGTGCCAACGATCGGCTATTTCTGCAAAAATATGATCCTTACATCCATAATATTCTGGAACTTGGATCTCAAGTTTTACTATGTTGGTGAGATACTGGAAGGAATGACCGGCGGGTTATCTCTATTTAAAATAGCCTGCTACGCGTGTGTGTCGGACAATACACCAGCTAAAGGGGTCCGTACGTTGGGGATGATAGCAGTGGATGTCACAATTGCAGTTACCGATGCGTCCATTTCATCAGTGACAGGAGTCTTCATCCAGAATACAGGATTCTTTTACCCGTCCTTGGCATCTGCGTTGATGACTGTGGTTGTCATGGTGACGATTATGTGCATTTTGTCTGACAATGTTAAACGAAAAGGAGCATCATGTGTGAATTTTCTGACAGGGTTAAAGCATGTCGTGTCGCCCTTCGTCTCAGAAGGTTCAAAGAGAAGGAAGGCATTGTTCTGGTTGGGCATTACCTCTTATTCCATTTTTACCCTCAGTGGCAGTACTGGGGACATTGGAAGTCTGTGGCAGCTAAACTACCCCCTATGTTGGAGCTCAGAGATGATTGGATACTACAGCATGGCTAGCACAATGTTCAATCAAGTGCTCTCCATCCCCTTAGCCAGGCTGCTCCAGAGCTGCGTCAGTGATCCAGTCATCGCTGTGTGGAGCTGTGTCGTCACTATAGCGTCCAACGTCCTGCAGGCGTTCTCCTACACCAACTGGATGATGTACGGCGTTGCCATCGTTGGATCTCTTTCGGTTTCAGTAGGGGGGATTATCCGGTCAGTGTTGTCACAGATGACGCCTCCAGATCGACAGGGGTCTCTCATGGCGAGTTTCTCTGTTATTGGAATCGTCAGCGTTGTCTTGGGAGAGCCTATGTTCAGTTTTATATACAGATCTACAGTGCTGGTGATGCGGGGTGCATCCTTCCTTGTTTCAGCTGGTGGCCATCTTTTATCGACAGTTATAATCATCGTCTTTGCTGTGTTGTCATCGGGTAAGAATAAACAGGAAGTGACGTCATCATCGACTCCACAAATACCGGAAGAAGAAGGCGTACCAGCACGAAGACATGTTCAGGGTAGCGAATGAATTTCTGGATGTGAGACATCTGTCGATTCTAATATTTCCAGAACGTTGAACTTCTGGGATCAGTTTACCGTCAACACTACATGGTGTCTGCATATACAGCCTTGTACTTGTGACGCATGTCTTCTTTTAGTCGTGTCATGAAATGACCATATAACTCACGGGCGTCATAAAAGCCCTGACCCGTGAAGATCCGGGGTAGAATAGGTCTTCAACAACCCATGCTTGCCGTAAAAGGCGACGATGCTTGTCGTAAGGGGCGACTAACAGAGATCGGGTGGTCAGGCTCGCTGACTTGGTTGATGTATGTCATCGTATCCCAGTTGTGTGGATCGATGCTTGTGTTACCAATCACTGGGTCGTTATGCTACTGGGTGGTCATTCGAAACTCAAGTTTCGTTCGTAAGTAATTACGGGGCAGTGTTAATCTCGTAGTAACTTACTCTGCTTGTTCTAAGCTAAACTTATTAGCTAGGGCTTTTCATAATCCGTTTTTCTACTTATCCGTTGATAGCTTAGGTCAAGTACCTTATATTTTTGAAAAGTTCCTTGTCCAGTCAAAGTGACAGTGTCTTTAGTCTATTGGACTAGTTTGATATTCAGGCGATAACCAACTATTTTATTGTCCACGGGACTTATTGTAGTGATAGGCCCTTTGTGTTTATATCCCACTATTTCACCCAGCCTGGGTTATGCACTTGTTAGGGTGTGAGTTAATTAACTCAGGTGTTAATTGATCGCAGTCGACTTAACTGGCTGTGTATGTATCTTGTCAACATCTTGTCCAAATGTTTGTTCTACCTACCCTCATTTCATTACTGTTTTACAGTCGTTTAGCTTATCCGCTTGTGTGTTTTCTCTTATTTAATTAATCAGTCATCACTGTCAGTGTAAATTGGATTTTTGATCCTTCATATTCTCGTCTATCGATACAATTAGCTGACAGCAGTAAACCTGTGAACCTATCACCACGTTCTCATTATTACTTTATTCTTGTTTAATGTTTGTTTGTTTGTTTGTTTGTTTGTTTGTTGTTTAACGCCGCACTCAGCTGTATGACGGCGGTTCGTACATAATCGAGTCTGGACCAGACAATCCAGTTCCTGCAGGTTTTCCTCTCGACCACAAAGACCGCCTCCGATGTCTAAAGAAAGGAGGGTTGGTTGGTGTGTTGTTTAACGCCGCACTCCAGCTATATGACGGCCGTCTGTAAATAATCGAGTCTGGACCAGACAATCAAGTGATTAATATCATGAGCATCGGTCCAGGCAATTGGGATACGATGACATGCATCAACCAAATCAGCGAGCCTGGCCGTCCGATCCCGTTCGTCGCCTCTTACGACAAGCATGGGTTGCTGAAGACCTATTCTACCCCGGATCTTGTTTAATGACACCCTGGTCACTGGAGCATATGGGGCAGTATTTACAATTGCCTCCAAGTCGATGTCCAGTGTTTCTAGCGCTTCAGTCCTGCGCCATACTGAAAGACATGTTGCATGTGGTGTCACCTTAGGCAAGTGACTTTGTTCGAAATATGCCTCAGTTTACCCAGCAGAGAATGGGTACCCAGTAGGATGAAATCATAATGTGACTGTTAACCTTTTAGCACCTCACAGGCAGCTTGGATTGTATACTCCCAGGGGAGCTGAGAATGAACATCGGGTCCACACCGATCCCCTGGGTAAATAGTGTCGCTATTTCAGCATGTGTTATGGTGTAGATCTGGCGCAATATATAAATATTCATGATATTATTTCATTAAATTGTCACAAAGGCAAACATCACGACGACTATGTGCTGACCTTGCACATAGTGCTCTTGTAAGAATATACAAAATGGCTTTATACAGGCATATATATATATATATATATAATAAAATAATAAAGTCCACGTTAGTCCATCATCTTCTTTATATCAGTTTCATACATAGTACTTTCGCTGTCTCATGACAGCTCTTCAGTGTAACTGACAATGACATATAATGACGTCATACTTATGATGACGTCATAAATTACAACTGTGACGTCACAATGTATTTACACACTCCAGCGACGACACCAAGTAATTTAACAATTGTAGGGAGACTTTTGAATTAAATATACAGTATTTGTAAAGTAACAGTGCAACATTTACGATTGAAATGACAAATCTATTAATACATTCTAGAGTTCAACTTTGGTTTCATCAATTGGATAAACATTTGTTCTTTTTCCAGTCTCAGCTGCTTGTTACTTGTATACAATTTATAAAACGGAAAAATAGTAAATTTCCCGTTTCCGCAATCATCAATGTGTTTGCTGACACCTAAGCATCGAACATTAGGGTCTCTAATCTGCTGTTTGTGTACAGTGACTCTATCTTTTAATTCCATGCCGGTTTCACCGATGTAGTTTTCGCCGCATACAAGTAACAAGCAGCTGAGACTGGAAAAAGAACAAATGTTTATCCAATTGATGAAACCAAAGTTGAACTCTAGAATGTATTAATAGATTTGTCATTTCAATCGTAAATGTTGCACTGTTACTTTACAAATACTGTATATTTAATTCAAAAGTCTCCCTACAATTGTTAAATTACTTGGTGTCGTCGCTGGAGTGTGTAAATACATTGTGACGTCACAGTTGTAATTTATGACGTCATCATAAGTATGACGTCATTATATGTCATTGTCAGTTACACTGAAGAGCTGTCATGAGACAGCGAAAGTACTATGTATGAAACTGATATAAAGAAGATGATGGACTAACGTGGACTTTATTATTTTATTATATATTACATGTACACCGAGTGAACATTTACCTCATTTTTGTATATAAATACGGTGTATATAGTCCAACATGTCCAAAAGAGATTGTCGTTCCAAACCAACCATGAATCCCGTTGAGATGGACGACATTAAAGGGAGACTAGGAGATATTGTTGAAAGACTGGATACCACCAACAATACATTGCAGGATATCTTAACGGAGCTGAAGAACAGCAAGGAAGGAATTGGAAATATTAGTGCAAAAATTCGGGAAAGCGAGAAAGGAAACAACGTATTCACAGAAGGACAGGGACGGTTAATACAGGTATGTGAAACTTTAACCGAAACCATTACCTCTCTTAATGCTAAGAGTAATGACACGTCGATCAATTCCATGTCTGTTGAACATGAAGCTTACCTGACGAAAAATCGCATGTATTCTGAATGGCAGCGCAATCTGAGTGATAGAAAGATTGCATTCTACAATGCGTACAGCACTAGAAGGAAGATTGAAATATACAAAGACTGGTTAAATAATGAACATCCAATCCTTCCACGTAAATTCTGGATTACTAAAATTCAGGGAGAACCCAAAGAAGAAACTGACATTCGTAAAGACTTGGCAGTTAGAAGATTTCAAACGGAAATCGCTCTTTTAGAGAAGAGACTGACAAGATATGAAAGTACAGTTCAAACCAAGGATGATCATATGGCGTTAGCTTTTCATGATATACCTTCAACGGAAGTTAAAGATTTTCTTAATAAACTATGGAAGGAAGATATATGTAAAGCAGAAATGAAGTCTGTTGAAATATGGAGTGGGAAAGAAGTATGGTTTAACTCGTATGCAGAGAAGTACTGCAAGGACCAAGTGTGTGTGAAGGAGAGAAAGTGTAAAACTAAGCCGTCAAACTCTAATTGCACAACACCAAGCACCCATCCGTCTAATCGGGCCACCCGAAGTTATGCTAGTGTTGTGAAAACTAACCAGCAAGCTACTTCAAACCACTCTACTCGATTGAAGCGAGGTCAGAGCGCAAGACGGAACGAGGCCGCGATGTCGACGAGACCAAAACATGCAGAATATTTGAACCACTTTAAATCAAATCGCACATACTATCATGGGAACCAGGAAAAACGTTTCCTGCGTGGTACAGGACGCGGAAGAGGACGTGGCACAGAACAAGGAAGAGTCAATAATATACAGCATGGTGATTACAGCAGACCAAATAATGCACAACGCGAGGAATACAACAGATATTTTTTAGGGTACAGCCACCAAAAAAGGCACAGATTCAAAGAAATGTGACTGCTGCAGAAGAAAAACAACGCGTTGACCCGAAAATAATTAACATTTCTAAAAGACAACTCACTACAGCTGAAATAACTTTACTAAAACGGGGTCTAAAGTTCACGCCAACTCCGTCACAGAATCACGAAGAGCTTAAAGTGGACATTCATGCATTCAGTAGAAGACTGAGACTCATGGAATATTTTGAATGCGATGATCAAGAGGATGATATATCCGTTTCCGATAAAAATTCGATCACAAATAGACCATTATTAAGGAACAAAAGCATGTTCAATCCAAAAAAGAACAGGGATAAATACCTTGATGACTACTTAAACAACCTGGAGAAATATCCTCTACGGAACATCAGGAAGTGCCATCCAAACTTATCACTGGAAGAACGTAAAGCTGTGGAGGATCTTAAAAATGACAAATCGATTGTTATTAAGGAAGCAGATAAAGGCGGCGCAGTCGTAATAATGGACTCGGAATATTATGAATCAAATATGTATGAATTATTGCAAGACAAGGAATTTTACATTGAAACAGATAATACTGAAAAAGCTGTAATTAAGAAGATTAAAAAACATAGTGATGACTTCTCTGGAGATCTACACCCTAAAGAAAAAGACTACTTAATAAACAGTGACCCGCAGACGGCTAATTTCTATGGACTACCCAAGATCCATAAAAGTAAATTGATAAATAATGCTATTGCCGAACAGAATGCGGAGTATATCGAAATTACCAGCTGTCCTGATTTGACATTCAGGCCGATTGTCGGAGGACCGAACAGCCCGACTCAGCGCCTAAGTAATCTCGTCGATATCATTTTAAAACCATTAACAAAGCATGTACCGAGTTTTGTAAGAGACGATGTAGACTTTCTTTCCCAGCTGCCCGATGCCGTACCTATTGATGCGACTCTAGCCACCTTTGATGTGAAGAGTTTATTTACCAACATACCCCATGATCTGGGATTGGAAGCAGTTCAGTTTTGGCTGAGAAAACATCCTGAGGCTATCGACACTGAATTTTCGGAAAGTTTCATTATGGAATCTTTAAGATTAGTCTTAGAAAATAATACCTTCTGTTTCAACGGAAAATTCTATCATCAAAGAAAGGGAACGGCCATGGGAACGAAAGTCGCCCCAACATACGCTACACTTGTGATGGGTTACATAGAGGATATTCTTTACAGGAAGGTACACGATTCCATGTCAGAATCCATTGCCAAACATGTGCGCGAAACTTGGAAGCGATTCTTGGACGACTGCTTTTTAGTTTGGCTCTCAACCCGTGAAAATTTAGACATTTTTCTGGATATTATTAATAAGCTCCATCCTTCCATCAGTTTTACTATGGAGTCTAGCGAGAGCAAAATTCCATTTCTGGACGTCCTTGTAGTTAAGGAAGATACTAAATTGAAAACTGATATCTACTACAAACCAACGGACACCCATCAATACCTACAATTCGGTTCATGTCACCCCAGGCATACACGAACTAACATTCCTTATTCACTTGCGCGGAGAGTATGTACCATCGTGTCGGAAACGGATAAAAGAGATTTAAGATTGAAAGAATTAATGGGGTATCTCAGGAAGCTAGGATATCCGCTTCGCGTCATAAATGACGCAATAGAAAAGTCTTTAAAAATTCCAAGACATACTCTCCTGAAACCTAATGAAAAATCTGTGGGCGATCAAATTATACCGTTTGTGTCCACCTTCAATCCTAATAATTGTGATATCATGCCAGTCATAAGGGACAACCTCCCAATTTTACAGCAAAGCGATAAAATGAAACAAGGACTGAATAAATTTAAAATTATAAAAAGTACCAGGCAACCAAAAAATCTCAAGCAGATTCTTTGTCCATCCAAATATTCTTGTACAGAGAGTGTACCATGTGTAAGTAGATGTAACACACCAAGATGCGGCACGTGTAACATCATAAGTG